TTGTTGTGTTCAGCTTTTAGTAAATAAAATATGTTGGGTAGAAAAGTGTGGGCTGAAAAAATCTTAATGGAAAATGAATCTTTCAGTCAGTCTCTACCAACATCATTTTCAGCTGTGTATTCACTGTGTTATCCCAGGGTGATGCCATCCTGTTGGAGGGCACTGTTGTGGCAATTAGCCGCCACATGTCCAGGGTAATCTGTGTATCACTACGGGACAACTGCTACTTCAATATATTTTCTTCCATCATATTTAAGGCATAACTATTTTTATAGTTCAGTTTTTGACATTTAACAGTGGAAACTCCCATCTGACATAAAACTGGTTTCCAGTGGTTTCACTGCACAGAGTGCCTGAAATTACAAGTGCAGCATTGCCTTCATTTTCCAGGACACTCACACAACAGCAGCAGCATTAAGGGAGTGTTAGAAGTATCAGGTAATCCATGTTAAGTGCTCTTAACATAAAATTGTGTAATTAGGAAACCAATATAACCTAGTAGAAACCTAGGTGTTAGCTTTAGACAAGTTATGGTGGCAGGCTCAGTTTTTTGCAGGAAACTCTTCTAAGTGTATTTAGCTGAGCCTTTCTGTTTGTCTCTGTGACAATATAGAAGGAAAGCTTAGTTTGGCTCCTTATTGCTTGTAAGTGGAAGGATAAGCTGCTAAATCTCTCATTGGAGTACTCATGTCTTTGAATTTTCAGTCTTTTTAAACTTGGCAGCTTTCTTTAATCATTAAAGTAAGGGATATTTCTCTAAGGCTTAGAATGGCTGAGCTAATAACTCCTCTATATTAATAGCTACAAAACGAAAGCCATTTCAAATACCTGATGACAAGTGGCTAACACTGTGTGGACTTCAAGGTTTTAAGCTGTCTCTGGAACTGTTTAGTAAGAAACAACACAGTATGAACCTTAGCTTCTCCAGCAGTTCTGTCAGGCAGTATTTCCAGTCATTCACATCAGATGCCTTGACACCCTGATCAGTATCAAGAAAATGTTACATGGCTACCTAACCATGTACCTCTAACCTACAAATGGTAAACTGAGCTTTTTGGTTTTGGGTTTTTTTCACTCATCTCTACATAAGATCAGGGTTGGTGTTACTTTCAATGCTGTTTTAGTAAAATGTTAACCCAGTGCATTTTCCCAGCATGGACAGTTCAGGAGTGACGTGGATGTGCACTAGGTTTTTGGAGAGCAGAATGACAGCTACCATAGGGCATGATTCCTCTATCTATTCCTCTTCAATCCTGCATCAAAGCAAGAAGATAGTCTGTAGAATGTGTTTTGTATTTGTCTTTACCAGTGCTCCAGAAAGTTCAGGCCCATATGAAGCATTATGACCATTGCCCAACCTCCTTGGACTAACACCCACTTACTCAGAGCCTTCTGTTTCATAGGGAAAATCCTGTTTGGTATTTATACCATTCATTTATCCTGTAGACATGTAAAAGGGACATGGGAATGCTTTTGAGCATGTCAAGCTAATGAGCTGGGCAGGTAATGGAGAAATCTCTTCCTTAAATGATTAAAAACTCTGCTAAGCAATTGCTGGTTTATGGCTGCTTGGCAGAACACCACACAGCAACAGACAGCTACCTACCTCATTCTCAACTCTCTTTAATAATCTTCTGTGTGGATTTTTAACAGTTTCCAAGGCAACTGGAAACAAAAACATCTCTGTAAAGCAGAGCTTCCTAGAACTCTCCACTTCAAATGGTACACATAGTAATTACAACTTTCTCTTCATCACTGAGTTTTCACCAGATTTTAAAAAGATCTGCAACTAAATTTGTCCCATCAGTGGGACATTTTGAGATTTTCTTCTCTAGAAATATAAAATGATCATGGCAAACATTATTTTGACTTCTTGAGGAGATGTGGAAAGATACCATAAGCCTTCCCTTCTGAAATGCTAATTATGAGCAGCCCATCTGGCAGAGCTGTTTCCATAAACTAAGCAGGAGGGGTCTACAATGAAACAATTACAGAAATACAGAGAAGCCTAGTTGGCAGCTGTTGTTTGAGCAAGATCTGCCATGAGATGTGTCTCTGTCTTCAGTGAGACTTTTAGCCAGAGCATGGCATCAGGTGAGACAACAGTATAGAACCGAGGGAAGTTTTTTCCCCTCTCTCCTGTGGACATAGGACCCTATTTTTTGTAGAGCAATTTGAAAAGAAATGTCTTTATTCTGTATTAACCTGCCCAAAGAAAAGCCAGCAGCAGCCATTTTAGCAGAAGACAGTTATACGCCTTGAGTTATACCCACTAAAGCAATATTTTTGCCAAAACCAGTGCAAGTAAAGTCATTTGCCCCCATAAGCTTGGAAACAGCAAATTTATATTTAAGAATGTCTAGTTATGAAGGCCTGGATTTACAGGAAAACCAGAATAAATGCATGAAAATAAATCAGCAAAGACAACTCTTCAAAAATATGTGTATTGTGTTAAATCTGCAAGGCTGTATTTTCTAGATTGCTGTTCTGCTGTACTGATTTATTATACTGTAGGTACAAAATGTTTAAGGCTGTTTGATAGTAACAACCACAGTTTTGTCCTTGAAGAAACTGGAACCTCAAACTTAAATGAAACCAGTTTGAAATATTTCACTTGTATGCTCTCTACTACTTTTGACTTTGTATGCATGACCTTGGCACAGACAGCTTCTCTCTGTCTCAACTTTAGAGGTATTGAAGGTATTCTTTCAGCATTACCTTTTTATGAAAAGGAATTTAGAGTGAAATAAGAAAATAAACCCCCTGAAGCATGATGAAAGAGAATAATGAAGAGATTATAGGTATATATATGCATATAAGTATACATATATATGTACTTTAATTAGTAGCCTAGGTTATTAGATTATTAAATTCTTCAGGTATAAGTTTGAATGGTCAGATGATGCATCTTTTAAGGTAAAAGCATATCTGTAGTATAACAATCTCAGATCCTTCCCTGCCATTGGTAAAATCTCTAAACCATGCCTGTAAATGGGCAAGCAGAAATAACAGTAAGAGAACTGTGCTATCAGAGTTATGATGCCAAATTTGCTATTTTAGGAGTACCAGATGAGGTGACAGCCAGAGACACCTGAGAAAAGCTGCAGTAAATGGAAATGGGGTCACTCTGGGAAGCTGTTCAGTTAAACAGGTGGCTTCCTTGGAGTAAAAGGAGTGTCTCTCTCCTCCATTTTTTGTACTTTGGATGAAGAGCATGGCTCAAATAAATTCATCTAGTGTGATTTAAGTGCTGTAGGCTGTGAGCTGGGCTCCAGAATGATGCAGGTCTCCATAAGTCCCCTGCAAGGATGTCTCAGATTCCTGGGATTTGTGAGTTGGGCTTAGCAAAGGAGTTCCACCAAAGGTCTCTGTGTTCAAACTTCACTGGTGGTCTCCTCCTCACCAGCAAGGACCTTCTAATGACCATGAGAGCAGCTGGGGAGACAACAGGCAAAAATCCAAAGAAGTAAGAGAGAATAGAGTGTCGGGGCACTAGGGTAGTTATAGATCTAATGGTGTCAGGAACCCACGTCTTAAGAGAGGAACTCACTTGCCGCGGCAAAAAGTCTAAATATGGACCACACTGGACAAATTAGACCAGCCTTTTTTATTTATTAGTACATCAGCCTCAGCACATTGTTAGATGTTAACAGCATGCTGGCCTAATGGAAAATGCCCCCGAAGGTGGGGTAGAACAGAATGACATAAAAACATCTCAGTTTAGATTTCAGCTAATCACACCAAAACAAGACATATTGACAAGCTTTCTATCCAACCTTATAAAACATATGTAATAGTAGTTAAAACAAAGACTATTTCATAAGAGACAAAGAACAGAGCTCTATTCACGGTAACTTTCTAAAGATATACATTAAATAAACTTGTTGCTATCCTAAAGCCAAATCTTCAAAGTCTTATTGTTATTTGTCACGTCTACTGCTTGGGAAACTTTTCTACTTGCTTGGGAAACTTTTTCTGCTTGCTTGGGAAACTTTTCTGCTGTAACAAAACTTCGGGCCACATCCTGAGGCCTAAATACTCTTTTTTAACCATTTCCTAAACACCCTCTAACTTTATGTATTCCCACAATAGAGAAAGCATTAACAAAAGATGGGAGACAACATTTGGAACCAGCTGTAGGAAGGAGTTCAATGTAAGACTCTTTGCCACACTTCCAAAAGGGTGTGCAGATACTTCCCACCAGTTTCCACAGTGACCTTGGCTGCAGTGGAGCACAAATGTTCTCCTCTGGGCACTGCTGTGCCTTCACTTGAGATTACCTTGGAAGCCCTTGGCTTAGTCCCTTATATTCCTGCAATGGGATGGAGAATGCTTATTTAAATATTGCATTTTATGCTGTTATAAGTACATACTGTCATAATAATGACAGTCTGATTGAAGGGAGTAAGAAGGATATAATTAATTCATTTTTCCACACATTTTACAGAAATAGCATTCGTGCTTTTAAACATTTATTTTATAACGCCCTTGGCCATTTTATTTTTACTATATTGAAGTTTATCTTAGGCTGAAAATAATTTAAATTCAAATTACAATGTCTGTATTGAATCACATGAATCAAAGCTTTGTATCTGGCATTTCTTTATTAATTTTCTTGAGAAAAAGATTTGAATTTTTTTCAATGTTGGAATTATTACTGCTTGTGTCAATTATGCTCATTTAAAACATTTAAAAGAAATACTTTATTTCCAAAAATAATTTATTTTCATTGCTTTTTCTTTAAGGAGGCACATATTGACAAAACATAAGTTAGCTGCACTCCTAATGTTCCCTGGAGGTCAGTTTTTTAAAAACAGATTAAAATTAGCAAACTTTGATTGAGATCTCCTGTGCCTGTTCTTATTCTATCTCCTTAGAACATCCCCTTTTGAGTTTTCTTGTTAGTCAAATTCTGATGTGTGATGAACTGGTGTGGGATGAGGACCATGATCATTCTACACCTTGAGTTTCAAAATTATGTTTTGGCAATTTTGTCCAAGGAGCAAAACTTCTATGGAGATGAAGAAATAGATGATGATGAGGAAGAAGAAGAAATAGAAGAAGTAGAAGAAGTAGAAGAAGTAGAGGAAGTAGAAGAAGTAGAGGAAGTAGAAGAAGCAGAAGGAAATGAAGAAAGAGAAGGAGATGAAACAAAAGCAAGCACAGAGAAAAAAGAGGAAAAAGAGCAAAAAAATGAAAAAGAAAAGGATCGTAAATCACCTGAGGGAGAGACAAGCAGTTCTAGTAGCACTGTGGAAAATGGAGAGGTAAAGTTATTTACTCCTATTAAGTTACAGGTCTCTGAAAGAATTTGGTTCTGTAACTAACTTGAGTTTGATACATGTGTACCTATCCTGTAAATGCAAAGTTGTTGTTTGGGGTGGTTTTGGTAGAGGAAGAAACACATATAGGTGTTAATAGTTAAACTTTTTTTTCCTTTTAACAATTTTGAAAGAGTTGTTTGGTTTTTGTTTTTTGGTCTATAGACAGAGGAGACTACTCAGAAAGAGACCATCGTTCAGCAGGGTAAGAATACAATTCCCAAGAATTGTACATTCTAAAGACAGATAAAAGTTTTCTAAACAATATTATAAAAATACTGGACAACACAGTCCTTGTTCATAGTTGGCAAAGCAGTTCTGGACAGGTAATGAAATTTGAGGGGCAAACCCCCATTATTAACTGTTAATGATTTGAAAGAAATAAATACTTTTCCCAGTCATGTGCAGGAAGTCCACGAGGACTTTCTCTTAGCGGTACTGAATCCTGTGCGGTGCCAAAGTCATGGTAATTTTATTGTCTCTCAGGCAACTTCTTTAGGTGCCCCGTGCCTCAATTCAATCAAGAAGCTGCTCAGAATTCTTCCCCATCTTTTTCAGCTGACATTTCCTCATTCTATTCACAGAGAGATTATTTTAGGTGAGATGTGATAATTGCTGAACACTATTCAGGATGCTGAATATGTAAGTCTAGAAGCTCCTTGCAGTTTTCATGGCAGTTTATGGGAACTGAATATTCCTTCATAAAAGCTGGGGAACATGTAATTGGGTGCCCTATATGTATAGGACTTTTTTTTATTTTAGAAATTTGGAATAATCTAGAATGGTTCTCTTGAAAGAAAATAACAAGTGTGGTATAAAACAGACCACAGGCCTTATAATGAAGAAGCTATGCCATTTATTTTCAATATTATAATGGAAATAGCTTGTACAGAAGGGATGCTAAATATTTTTCCATTATTCAGTGATCTGGAAGTTTTGGTATTAAGTTTGAAATGTATATGATTCATACAGGGAATATAGGAAAATTTAAGCACAGACACATCAACTGAGATGGAAAGTTTTCCTTTTCCCAGAATTGTTTCTGTGGAATAAAATTCACGCTGAACTGTAACTCCTGTCCTAAAATCAGCTTTGCCAAATTAGAATATACTTGCAAATAAGTGTGCAAGACACTGTCTCCTGTCAGTAAGAGGAAATTTGAGTGTCAAGTAAAAATATTTTCTATATTGTCGCTGCCATAAGTGTTCTATTCTTAAAAATTGAGCATCTGGAGAGTAATGTCAGGACAATATATGGAGAGATTAAAAAACAAAAATCATCTTGTCAGGCTGGGCATCAAGTTTTACTGAATATTCTGATTGTTTTTTCAGTTTTATTTAGCTTTACTTCAAAATAATCTGAAGAGTAATTGTTTCTGCTTTTCTGTGATATTTTTCTGATTTCCATGAATCAGAAGAAATTTAATATAAACATTTATATTATTGTAGAGAAGGAAAGCACTGACAATCATGCTGTGAACAGTTCTTCAGAGAACACTGAGGACCAAAAAACTGGAGTGGGGAGAAAAAAGGTTTGTGGCCTGATGTTTCTTTCTAGTTTTGCCAGTGACCAAGAAGCCAGTGGGCAGTTACCAAAACAAATACCTCAACTCATATGATGTGCAAAGATAATTAAACTGCAGAGCAACCTGTTCCTTCTGTTTAAGACTTGATTTTATTTTTTGATAAAATAATTTTAAAATGTCCAAATAACAGAAATTAGTTAAAGCCCATTATGACCTCTTAATAGAGGCATGTCCCTGAGAGAGAGATTGTTCATCACATCATGAACTGGTGAGGTGAAAACTTACGACTTGATTCCTATGGGCCATTATCTAAAAAGATTTCCCCTCCTATTTGTCTCTGAAAGCAGCAGCTGAGCTCATTACCCTGCATCTATTTGCAACATACACTGATTTTATCATCAAATATATCTCTCTATATAGGTGCATGAGCATGTTGAGGAGTAGAATTTCTTACAGGTTTTAGGATTCAGAGGCTCCTGCAGAGGCTGCTGAGTTTCCTGTTGACCAAAGGCCCTAAGCAGTACTTAACTTTAATTTTACTTTAACTTTGACACCAGTGTGGTCTCACTGAGCACAAGCACTGTCATTTATGGCAGTACACACATTTATCAGCAGGCACACTGAGCACTTTCTGGGAGTTCATGTTTGAACCTTGCCTCAGGCTCTTATTTGGAAGAAACCCAAATAAATGCACCACTCACAGCATTTTGTACAAACTGTACAATGTGTAATTTGACAAATTGCAATCACTTGAACTTTTCTGATTGCCATGTGCTATTTTAACACATTTTAAATATTGCAAATGTTTCTCAACATTTTTTAGTGATTTTGTTTTTAAAAAAAACTATTTTACCAAGGAGAAATCTGCCAACCTCATTTAACTTTGATATATGCTGGGTTTGTGGTTTTTTAATCTTGAACTTCACTGCTAACTGTTTCAGACATATCGTTTACCTGTTTTTTCACTCCAGTTTTCCCTGTTTAAGCGAAAGCCACTGACAAGCCAGAAGAATGTATGTAGCAGAAAGGAAGACAGCTCTGAAAAGCCACTGCAGAGTGAAGAAAAGGAAAAGGAAGATTTAACTGGTGAAAGCAATAAAGATGAAAATCAGAATCATACACTGGAGAATTCCAGTGAAACTGTGACTAACCAGGACAGAAGGATGAAAGTTAATACATGTACATTGCTGTAAAACTGTTGTAATATAAGAGAATGTGACAGTCTTAAAGCAAACAGTGCAATTTTTACTTGAAAACAGGTATGACTCGAGATGTTGATGGCTGCTTTTTTTTAATTGATTGGATTGCTGTAATTTTAAATAGACAGATGATTTTCTTGATATTTATTGGTAATTTTAATAGGTCAAAATTATATACTTATCAGCACCTTGCTGGAGTTCTGTGGCCTTACCTGTTGATGTTCTAAAGCAAAATATGGGGGTTTTTAATGTGAAGAGTTGAATACAGGCATTTTATTTTTTGCTAAATAATTTTCTTCTGTTTCAGTCTACAGAGTACCACTTTCAGCATGACACTCTTGCAAAATTATAATATTCTATATATTACTTGGTTTAACAACCTAGTCAAGAATATTTAAGGTACTCAGAAACATACATCTTTCTGTTTTGACATAGAAAAAATAGCAGTAAAACTTTCAAGTTAACTTGTAGGCCATTATGGAAGAAGTTACTTGAGTATGTGCCTAATTTCACTCATGGCAGCAGTCCCAGTGGAAACAGTGTAAGGATGGAAGTATCCTGCCAAACTGGGACAGGGAGAAAGCTTTTATTTCTGAGAAGTGCTGAAAACCTTTGCTCCTGCTGAAATTGGCATAAGCTGATGGGCCTCTCTCCTACGGGATCAGGCCTAGGAAAAACTGGAAACCCTCACTCTTGTTTCACTTGGATTCTAATCCTGTATCCTCTAAATATCCACACCTTAATGTGAAGCTTTTCTCACAGGAAAATAATGCAACCAGAGGTACTGTGGCATCAGTATGACAGGCTGATCATTATGGGGTAAATATTCATGTTTTTCTCAGGCAGACTGGCTTTTCTTCAGAAGGAAACAGGAGGAGCCAAAAATCAGTACAAATAAAAACTGCTTAACACCACTGTAGCATTAAGAAGCAGGAGTTCTTTATTCAGCCTGATGCTCAAGGGGATATTTCCTCTAAAATATTGTGCAGGCTGAGTACAGAAAAGGCTCCTGTTTAGATACTGTATTTTTCATACACAATCATTGATTTTCCCAGAAGAAACATACACATGAAAAATAATTTTTCAAGAATATATTTTCCCTCCCATTTACACGTGTTCTTCTGTCCTGGAGGTCCCGTTGCTGGTCCCTGGTCAGTGACCCCCAGTGATCCCTGACCCCACAGTGAACTGGTGAAAGGTGGGACAACTGGGCTGGTTGCTTTCCAGTTCTTCCTTCAATTTCCCCAGTTTTGGAGTTGCTTAAATTTTATACAATAGGTCAGAAGTGTCCAGAATTGATTTAATCCTAGGAGTTGGTTCACCTGCATGCTTTGTCCTTTTAAGTGTGGTAAGTGCCCAGATTCTTTCACAGGGCTTCCTCTGTGCTACCACAATCATCATACTAAAGACCTGGATGCTTGGCTCATCCTTTGCCAGAGTTAATTAGGATCCTTTTGGGGTCTTTTATTTTACTTTGGGCTACTCCTGGGTTCTGCAGCGAACCTTACATGAGGGGGTTTTCCTCCATTATATTTACATATTTTCTTATTTTTCTGAATGCACAATGTGGTTTCTGTTCTCCTTGGATACTGTTGAGAAGAGTAAAGTGAAAAAGGAGAAATAAAGTAAATGGTGCCCTCATTAATTTAAATAAACTTTAATTATTTTTTTAAGGGGAGATCAGTCGCAGAAATTGTTACTGTAAGAACAATTTCTTTTTTAAAGGTGAAATAATTTAGTGAGAAATATTACTTTAAAATGGGAATTACCCTCAAATCTAACACTACAGAAGTTTATGCAATGGACTGTAAGCTGCTGTATGTCTGAGCAGTTTCAGGGACTGGTACATTTATCTTGTCCACATACTTTGCTCAACAAGAAGCAGGAACATATTAACCCATTCCAATGTCTTTTCTACATGTCTTAATTTTTAATAAAAAAGATTAAACAAATTGCATGTGCATGTGTATTAACTTATAGGGCTTTTTAACAAGTTCAAATATTTATGATAAAAATGTGAAGATTTTTTATTACTGAAATGTTTTCATAAACAGATGAGTAGCAAAAAATTCTATAAACATTTCTAAGGCATCTTTCTCTGTTTTCTCCTTACTTTTCCAAAGATCAAGTGTGTCAACTTAAGTCTTTATTTCTCATTTTTATAGTCCTACCATACAACTGAGATTGAGCTTTAGAATTGTTGGGTTTCTCAAATTTCACCACTAAACCTATCACTAGGTGGAGTTTGTGCTCTTTGAAGGTGTAACCAGCCCCTGGAGCCAGAAATTCTCCTTCTCATGGCCCCTGAAAGAAGTTAAAGATACTCATTCTGTATCAAATTTTCTGTTTCCAAATTCTCAGAAAACTTTATGTTTTCTGGCACGTTGCTTTTGGCATTAAAGTACTCTGCTACCTCAATGTATTTATATAGTGCATTTTGAACGTTTTCAACTGTGTGTCTTTGTAAAAATATAAAGATGAAAAATACAATTACTCATTTATTTCTAAGCATATGGAGATCGACAGTGGTCAACTTCTGATAAATCTAAGTCTAGGTATACATGTTTTATTTAAATTGAAGTGGAATTAGAGCACCTTGCATACACAGATACACATGTATGTGCACTGAGACATGTGTATATTTACAGACAGAGACAGATACACAGATATATGTGTGCATGTGTGTGTGCACATGGATGATCAAATGTGTGCCTGAGCTCCTGAAACTTCCATTTAATCCATATATTTACATATGCATATTTACTGATTTTCAGAAGCATAGGATTCATTTATGCAGCTGCTGTTCCTATGCAAGTTTGTGGTAATTGAAATTAAAAAAGAAGAGAACATGAAAGAAAGCTTATTTAGACACTATTTTATATGCCCAAAGTTAATAACCATAATTAATTTTGTGCAACTTCCTTTTTATTCCACATCTTACTTGTACAATATGCAAAATACATCCAGTCTTTGTCCTTGGAGAATGTTATATGTCATGTTTTGACATTAGGGTAGTTGAAGTGAACTGAATCCCTATCATGATGGTAAACCACTCTAAGTAGTGATAATCAAGAATACAGAAGCTAATCTTGCATGACTATAGAGAGACTAAGTATGGGTTCTTAAAACATACTCATGTACTCAAACTACTTCAGCTCTTTAAACTAGAAATATAAATATAAACATAACAATAAATATAATATTTCTAAATTCCCTCACAGTGCTTTTAGAAACTATAATATACAACTCACTACTTAGGGGAGTTTACAACATTTGCACACTGTGTTATGTCTAAATTCCTTTAAGGGCCTAAATAATGTTTTGATTAAGTGTAATGAGACCACCATCAGTGGCAAAAATTTGAGATATTAATGCCTTGGTAGTAAGTCTGCTTTGCTCAGTATCTCATAGTGATGAGCTCTAAAGTTCACACCTATCTGCCCTTCAAGACTGTTCTGGAATTACATTTTATTCATGCTATGTAATTACCACTTTTTTTTTTTTCCAGGACCAGATTGTAATGACTCAGCAAAAGCCTTGCAAAATCTAAATCTGGATAAACTGTAGTTCTTTGATTTGTACACAAAGAAGTTTTTATTCTTGAGACCATTCTCATTTAATGTCGGAGCAGTTTAGACACAGCTGTTTCCAATCACCCTCATCAAAAGCTGAAGAGATAGATTAAGTTAGAATTTTAAGACATGTTAACAGCATCAAGAAAATAAAAAATACAGAGATTTTTTTCTTCAGTACATTTATTATACATGAGACCATGATTTAGCATTTACCATGCTGATTTACCACATACTGATGCATCAGTCAGTGTCTAACTGGGAATGAAATATTGTATTCCCCCCAAAATCTTCTGTTTTTCTGGCTGCCTAAGACACACCAATCCTTCCAGATGGAATGGAAAAAGGGAACTGGTGTTCTCCAAGATTTGCTACATGTGTACTCCATCCATGTGCTTTCTGCATGCCTGACCCAGACCTTCATATTAAAATTTTCCACAGCAAGGGTTTTGGCAGTGGAAAAGTTACTCTTGACATCTGCTTTGTGCCATTTTTAGGAGGCCACCTTTAACTGGGAAGAGCCAAGGAGATTTCTTCATATCCCTGATGTAGGGAGCAGGAAAGTGCTCAGGGATGGGACACACAGAGACTGCTGCCCTGAAGAAAATTTCGCTTCCCTAAAATATGCTATTTTTACAGTCAGGGCAGTATCTTTTATATTTTTGACAAGGAGTGTGCCATTGAGGTTTAAGTGTGACCTAGGAAAGAAAGTTATTAGGATATATTAAGTTTATTATTTCACACAAGAAACTATGTGATCATCATCTCTGTTATTTAAGCTCCCAGAACAAGAATTTCCATTGGTGTACATCTTCCTGACATTTTTAGCCAATGCTGTCCTCTCCTAGGCTGGCCTCTAGTGTTTCTTTCCTGTCTGTCACTTCAGGAAAAGCAGCTTCCTATTAACAAATGTGAATATGTCACTTAAAATGCAAAGTTAGCCAAGAGCCCTGTACAGACATGCCCATGAGCAGGGGAGATGCCTTCTGAAAACTGCACTGAGTGAAGAACCAGCTCTGCATGAAGGGATGATCTTGGGCTAGCAGTGGTCTTTCTTGGCTAGCACTGGGGTTCCTGTCATGAGCTGACAGCAGCAGCACAGTGTGTGAGGAATTTTGTCCATCGTTCCTCAGAGAGCACCTACATGACACTCACCCACCTGCCTCTTTCTGCCCATGCCTTCCTCTGAATAATTTTGCCTTTTTTCCTCTTCATGCCTTCACAACAGCAGCACCTATGGAAGGTCTGTTCTTCCTGCCTGCTGTCTCCACAGGTCAACCCCAATCTTTGCTTCCATTTCAGCCTCCCTCTCCCAGATTCTGTCAGAGTTTCTGTATCATTATCACCACCAGTAATGGAGGGATGGGACAATTTTCAGGCTAAGAACCATTTATTGCTCAGATAAACATCAGTCTCAGTGAGATTTTAAAGGAGCAAGTATCCAGCCATAGCTCAAGAGCAGTCACAAGTTCTTTGTTGCAAGACAATATTGAACTTTCTAATCCAATGGACAGTCACTACAAGGTTGATTTTGCTTTTCTAACATATCACCTTCACTCACTTCTACTGCACTGTGGATATTTTGACCCAATAGGTTATCATCATATGTATACACATACGCTTCTATTATAACTTTTAAATTCTTAACTTATTTTATACAGTGACATTACTATGCTATAGACCCTTCACCATCTTACCCAATACAGTTTCTTACTTACTTAAGGTATATTCTTAGAACTATAGAAACATAAGTTTAAGGTTTTTCTACTTAATGTCTGTGCATTGAATTTTTACATCAATCCAAGCTTCTTCTAAGACTGCAGATCAAACTCTTCAGTGTCTGTGGAAATTTCTGTTTTTCCAATTCCCACATTTCCAACATTGGAGTGCACCCCACAGAATGGCTCTGAGTGGGATCCCAAAGGGATGAGTGCCTGAGCACAGCTCATGTGCAGCAGGCTGACATCCAGAGGGAAAAATTTGGCCACAAGAGCTGGCAGTGACCACCAGCTGGAAGGAGGGCCTAGTAACAGCAAATGTTGAGTTACAAATCAAAATGTTATTTTTAAGTGTCACTGCCACTAAAAATGATGACAAAGTAATGATAAGCTCCAAGAATTCTAGGAATTGTACAGAAGAAAATCATCATTATGATTATAATTTTATTTTAAGACTGTCTATTTCTGCAGATATTTACAAGAGTAATTCTAAGTATCAGAGCATTTGCATTCGGTCAGGCAATTCACTGGACTAAAACTGTGTGGTTTGGATTGGGGCCTTATTTGTCATCCTCTTATGATGAGTTAGACCTTACTCAACAAAAGCTTCATTACACACATGTGGGTTGTTTGGGTACTGTTTTTATTTCCTTATCATTCTTTTACTATTTGGAGAAAAAATATTAGATTGTTAAATATTATTAAAATTTTATTTTAATTAATTTCTCCTCTCCATCAAAAGTTGTATTTTTATTATCACTGTAACTGCAGTTGTTACAGCTATTTTGGTGCAGAGTAATAAAATTACACTTCTGAACTGCTATTAAAAAAGCAGAAAAGAAAAATTGTGTAATTATATTAACTCTTTGACATAACAAGAATAATTCTTTAGGCCTCCAAGAGCGTGTAACTTTGCTTTGGGATTTATTTTTCTATTCAACCAAGACATTTTCATACATTTCAGTCCTCTAGTGTTGCTTGATTTCAGTCCTGAAAATTTTCTTTCACCTCTGAACAGTGAAAACCGGAATTTTCCATGAAAAGCAGACTGTTTAATTCTTGTGTAATACCAGGAGTGCCAGGAACTCCAACTCACCACAAGCTTAAATAGTTAGAATTTTTTTCTATAAAAATTAAAAGCTGAACTGGGAGAAAAAAAATTGGACTGTGCCTTTCAATTCAATACATGTGACATTTGTTTAATTCATTCATAATTCTACATGCCTCCTCCTATTAAAAGGTCCTACAAAAATCTAATTTATTAGGAATTCAACATTTTTTTAAAGTTGCCTTGAATTTGCCTTTCAAGCTCCAGTCTTTTGGGTGATTTCACACTGCTGTCATTCTATCAAACATGAAGAATGAGTTACATTGCTCAGAGCAAACTGGAGTCCGGATGAAGGCACGTCTTGGCAATGGCATTTTTCCAAGGCTCATTTCGAACAGGCCATGAAGGCCACTGCTACTTATGCTCACATTTGTGTCTAAATTTGAGCTGTAAGTTGCAGACTGTGTTAGCTCTTAAATCTGTTGCCTTTCTCAGGGCAGTTGGGACCCTCCAGGAGCTGGATGTCAGAGGAAAAGCAGCATTGCAGGCACACCTGCTCACAGTGCCCACTGCAAGAACCCTGTCCACAGGACAGGCATGACAAAGTTCTGCAACCATCAGTGCTTTTGTTGTTTGAGCAGATGGAACTGCACATGCACAACCAGGAGCAACAGGAGAGCAGTCTGAGGTCCCACTGATTCCAGGGAATCAAACAGGATTCTTGCCTGTACTAATTCAGACTCCACAGCTGCAGTCACTGATGGCATCTACTACTGAGACCTCTGTCCCTCATGCTGAGGAGACAGCCCAGCAAGGAGGGTTTGCCACCACAATCACCACATTTCTGCACCCTGAAATGGCTCAACAAGGCTGCCCAGGAGAGAGGCTGTGACCTCTGGGCAGGGTGGTGCTGGGACAGCTGATGGAGAAGCTGCAGCTGCATTCACATTTCTGCTGGCAGTGGCTTCTTGAACGATGCTCTCATACCAGTACAGAGATGCTTGTGCTCACAGAAATACCTAAATGAAGGCCAGTGTTTTGGAAATGGGCAGTTACAAGGACAATACACAAAGGGAAAGCAAGAGATATCTGACCCATTAAGAGGTGCTTCAGGTACCTTTATTATTCCATTATATCAAAACACTGAACTCTTAGCAAAGCCTTGCAGCACAGATAAACTGATTAAAGCACTCCTTTTCCTGATGTTCTTCTTTAACCAGAGCAATGTTAGTATTTTAACTCTTCACATGTGGTAATCTAAGAATTCCTTAGGCTGTTAAATTGCAGTTACTCTGATGACACTGACACTGGTTTTGTTACCATCTTTCTTTTTCATTTTTTGGCAAACAAGTTCAAAACCGAGTACTGAGCCCAAGCATACTCAGACTCCACCAGTACTGGGCAGAGAACTTGGAGAACAGTTTGTGCTGAGGCCCCAGTGCCACCCAACCCCACCAGGAACTTCACCCCAGAGAAGCTCTAGCACTCACTCCTGTGAACACCTCAGCCTCAGACAGCAAATTGGGGGACCCAAGTGGGGAGGTATCCAGGGGCACTCCTCATCCAAAGGAAAAGTCAGATGAAAAGAAAATGCTTGGAGAAAGCTACCAGACACAGCACTCACACAGATTTTTATTTTAATTACCAGCAAGATTACATTTTTCTTAGGTCATTTTGGTATAACCAGCCTCAAAGTGTGGCAGAATTGTCACCTTCTTTTGTTTCCAGACTAACATTTCCCCTTGAGGAGACTCTCCTTCCTCTGCAATTCTGTCTCTTATTTTCAAAGAAGTATTCCTTTCCTGACCTGATGGTATTTCACTATTTGTCCGGGAAACAGCACAGAATGTGGAAGGGACCCTCAGAACTCCCTGGGCTCACTCCTCTGTACCACCCCAGCACACAAATTCTGGCTGAAGCTGCTTTCACACACCTTTATGGGCTTTTCCCACATCTTTGCCAGTTTAGATTACACATTAAATGCTCATGGTAGGAAGTGCAAAAAGAAAGAAACCCCAAATCTACCTTTAGTCAAGCTGCAGGGTTGACAGATGTCAAATCAAAAGCATTGGAGCATATGATTCTCTGCCTGAAGCCTTCACCTCCGTGGGCTTGGAGTGTCTGGGGAATTTGCTTTCATGTGAAAGGCAGTAAGAAAAGCCTCTACTCTTTGTGGTTATGGATCAAAGCCTGAAAATGTAACTCTGCATCACCCTGGCAGCTCAAAAACCTAATGAGAAATGTGATGACACCAAACTTCTTACTCTCATGACTTGGGGATTTTTTATTTTTAACATTTAAAGCTGGCCATCTGCAAACTGCTGAGCAACCAGAGCAGTTCATCTTGAGAAATACAGTCTATTTCCTCGCACTGCTGCCTGCAAAATTCCAGGCATGCGTGGGCAGGGCACTGCCACCGGGATGGGATGGGATGGGATGGGATGGGATGGGATGGGATGGGATGGGATGGGATGGGATGGGATGGGATGGGATGGGATGGGATGGGGGCCGGCAGCATGACACCTCCCCAGAGAGGTCCTACAGTGCCAGAAATGTTACCGGAGGGAGCAGGAGGGGTTCATCCTCCACGTCCTGCCCTTGTTCACTGGGAGCCTATTTGCCATGCTTCCTGCCTTGGAAGGACAGACGGGAGGACATCGGGACAGACACACTGTCCTGGCTCATGGCACCGAGCAGGGACCCCACTCCCGGGCTGCCTGACCAGCAGCGTGGGCAGCAGGGGCAGGGAGGGGATTGTGCCCCTCTGCTCTGCTCAGCCCCCAGCCTGGATGGTGCATCCAGCCAAGAACCCCCGCACGGGCAGGCCGTGAACCGGCCGCAGTGAGCCCAGAGGCGGCGGGACTGGAACGAAGTGATCTTTACGGTCCCTTCCAGCACAAACCATTCTGATCCTGTGATTCTGTGACCCCTATCCGAGCCAGGGCCCCACCTGGCAGCAGGAGGCCCTCGGGGGGGACAACACACGGCACACCGGAGTCCCGGCAGATCCCAATCCCGGCCTGGGAGGCGGGGCCGGGCAGCGGGACGAGTCTTCCCAGGCGCCCGGGAGCCACTCGGTGAATGGCCCCGTCCCATTTTTCCTCCTCCTCCTCCTGCTGCTGCTGCTGCTGGAGCCCCGCGCCGGGCAGAGCCGCTGTGAGGAGCATGGGGAGCTGCTGGCTGCGCCTCGCCGCGCTGCTCGCCCTGGGCGCCTGGGCCAGCCTGGAGTACGAGGGTGAGGAAGGGGCGGCGGGGCCGGGCCGGGAGCGGGGCCGGGGCAGGGCCGGGAGCGGGGCCGGGCCGGGGGCGGCGGGAGCGCCGCGGTGTCCGCGGCAGCCTGAGGGGCCGGGGCCCGTCCTGCTCACTCGCTGCCGACTCGCAGCGCTTTGTGTCTCGCTCTGTGTCCGGTCCAGTCCGGCCAGCGTGGATGGAGCCGCGTCCTGGGTGTGGAGAACCGGGTTGTTACTGGAGTGGGTGCCAGGAAAGCTTCCCGCCGTGCTGGGTTTGAGCCCTGCCGGGGCGGGCTGGTGGCAGCCTCCGGCTCCCTCTCACATCTGCACCTCCGTGCCGCCGCCTCGGCACTCGGAGAGAGAAGGTGACACCCGCTCAAAGCTGCTGAACAAGAGAGGCTCTGTGTTGTCCCTAAGTGTAAAGTGTAAGTCCGATGGGCCAGCCCTGCCTCAGCAGATTTTGGTGCCCGGGTGAGATTGCATGCAGCAAGGTAATCTCTCTTTTTAATGTGAAAAATGAATGGGTGAATCTGCCTGGTTTCTTAGGCACCTTGTAAATTAAAAAATGCACGCTGATGCTACTTCACTTCTAAGTGTTTGTATTTCCTGTAGCAAAATTTGAAATGAGCTCAAATTTAGGTTCCATTTCCATGCAAAAGGAAAGGGGTATGTGGTTTCTGCCTGTACTAAAGCAGATGCATTTTGTCAGATTAGACACTTCTGATTTGGTAGCATGGCACACAAAGCCAGTGTAAACTGCCGTGCCCTGGTTGTGGTTTAACAGGTGTAGTCACTGAGAATTTGTGGTCAGACCAGAGCCTTTCATGTCAGTGGGTCTGGATTCAAACTGATGTGTGTTACTGGCATGAAGGGGAAGGGCAGCAGTGAACACGGGAGAAAGGTGTTTTAATACAACTTACAGCTGCATGTTGGTGATATCCACATTTTGTTTCCTGGAGCTATCCCTGCCTAATATGTAGTTCTGTCCATGGAGGGGTGTAAAGTGGCATAGGGGTGGTATTTGTGAGTTGAGGTTTAGCTTTCCTTATTTTCATTGGCAGGTTAAGAGTGGCTTTTTTCCAAGGGGGAAGATGTTGGAACACACATTTATGCTCTTTCTTTACCAAACACTGAAGTATTGGACACATCAGTTGCTAAATCAACAAAGACCACAGAAGTTCCTGTCCTGGCATTTCTCTGAGGATTATTGTACTGCCAAATTCTCTTTATTTTCTTAGGAAGATGAGTGAATGCTTTAGTTTGCGGTTCATGTGAATGTCAGTCTTCAAGTAGTTTACAGAGGATGCTAATATCCTATCCTTTGTTTTCCTAAAAGGACAAATGTAACCTCTCTAATCTCAAAAGTCTTAAGTTTTGCATGTAATCTTCAAGTTGGCTGCACAAAAGCCTGCTTGTTTCATCTTTCACTCATTTGAAAGTCCAATTTCCTCCTTATGCTTAGTGTCAAAGGCTCCAAAGAGCTTAAATCGCCAGCAACTGTAATTGTAAACCCTAATATTAAGTGAATGTTTCATGTTACTTTTCTTCTGTTTATTTTTAGTAGAGAAATGTGGTATTCTTTCAGATCTTTATTCCCAGTATGAAATCTAGTGAAACTGTTAATGGGTTTTTCTCTAATGGTACTGTGTTGGTGTATAACCATGCACATTAGGTACAGAATGCCATTAAGTAAACTAAAATGGACTTAAAAAAAATAAAATCTCTACAGCACGTGTGTGTGGGGCCCTCTTGATTATACAGGCACAAGCTTATTGAACCATTATCAAGATGTTGACACTTTGTAGGCAAAGCCAAGCAGCAGTTTTGGATTCATGCAAAATGTTTGTAATTCAATAGTAGATTGTTCTTTAAATATCAGAAATAGTCTAATCAGCTCTTGAACTCATGATTTGATAACACTGAAGTTTCTGCTGTAGGAAAGTTGTGTTCCACAATTCCAAAGACTATGTTAAACACCACACTAAATAGGTGTAATTTTCATGCCCTAAGAATTCTGCTATCAATTTTTTGATGGCAGGCAAGTAGAAATCAAGCTGGTGTTCCACCTGGGAAATTGTAATTGAACTAATTATCAATGTGGCACAAGAATGAAAACTGAGAAATATCCAAATAATTAAAATTCTTAAAATACTTAAAAACCTTTGAAGTGGCAGCTGTTTTAACTGTATTTTCAAGTTTTGAAAGGATGCTGTGGATTCTCACATTGGTACATTCAAAGCTAAGAAGGCACTGATAAAATCTCTCTGGTGGCACTACTCAGAGGAAAGTCTGTTTTCTCTTCAAGAACAGTTTAGAGATGCAGTTTCGGGAAGTTAAAACAAGAGTAAAACCTTTTCCCTAGGGGGTGGAGAGGGAAATGTGCCCTTGGAGCTCTTCAGTGACTTTCTGTGGTGTTGGGGAGGGTACAGCTGTCCATCTGTACATATATATGGGGATCACATGTTCAGTATTTGGGGGGTGTGAAGGTGAAATCAAGTGGCACTGTGTGATGTAAGGCTGTGGTAGTTGTGTCTTACACTATTGGTAGATGAAAAGAAAAGCTTATCTATGATAGAATGAATAGGATCTGTGCATTGGAACAGGGTACTTGTGTGAAGGGCCATGAACCTTGAGGGAGATGTCACTAAAATCACTTGAAGACCATGTAATATTATGGAACTATTTTCAAAAGCTGTATGAGATTTTATTCAAAGAAAACAATACATACATAAGCACCATATGCTTATAACCTATGTATATTCTGGATTAAATATGAGTAGATGGAAGTCAGGTTGTGGAAATGGTGGTTCTCAAAGCTGTGTGCTAGGTCAAGAGTTCATCTGTGAGTGAGACTGCTGAGTGCCTCAGCCCTTCAGAGAGAGGCAGTTCTCACCCAGTAGTTTTTATGCTATAAATAGACAAAGGATAGGAGGACAAAACTGAAGGAAGAGAGAATTTAAAACTGCTTAAAGTCAAATGGCAGGCTTTAAAAAAACCTGGCATCACAATGATTTGATTCCTCCTCCATAAGACCAAGCTGCAGAATGGTCCAGAAGCAATCTCCAGGGCCCTGAGCAGCTGGTGCTCTGCAGTGCCAAGGGTGGGGCCTGTTGTGTCAGCTCAGAGTTCTTTTGTTGCGTTTTTCTTCTAAACACAGTTTGCTGGCTGCCTTGCCTGTTCTGGTGACAATTTGTATGCTCAGGATCCAGCGTGGAGCTGCAGGCGCCGCTCTGACCGTGGTGGGCACAGACCTGGAGGTGTTGTGTGCTGGCCAAACCCAGCATGGGAATGAATGGTCTAAGGAAAGGTGTCCTGGTCCACAGCTGGGGGCTAGATCCTTTCCAATCCAAATCATTCTATGATTCTGTGATGTTCTGAATACAAGCAGGTGTTCTAAGGCACAGCTTCATCCACAGTTGTGCTTTGGATGGGCTGGCTCTGTCTAAACAAGCTCCAGTTACCTGGACAGTTGCATATGAGTAAGACTTCAGCATTCTCAGGTGACCTCAGGCATAACAGATATGTCTTGTTATATCAATCAATAATGTTAACTTATCTCCTGACACTGCTTTAATATATTCCTGTGTGAAGTGGAGCATTTTCATGAGCTGTAGTAATTCCCCACTGAAAACTCCTTGCAGTTTAATAAGCATTACCAAAGCAGTACATTTCTTCCTGAGTGGTCCTTAAATAATCAGGTCATTGCCTCCTCTCTGCTCAGCCTGCTCACTCTTCAGCAGCACCTGGGGGCTTCAGTGCAACTGAAATCTCCAGGGTGAGATCACATAAACAGAGAGTGAAATTAAGGATATTTCAATGAGTTGTTGAACTGTCCTTTCTCTCAGAGTGAAATACACCTTGCCAGAAAGCAAGACAAATTAAGTGCATTTAATGTCCTGGGTAGCCAAGTCTGGGCAAGCACTGGACGTGTACAGGAGGTGCCATAGAGCCATCAATGACAATTTTTTTCATGTCTGTAAGCTGCTGTACCCCTTGTCTTGGTCCACTGCAGCAGTAAGTCTGGCATGACAAAGGCTTGCCAAACATCTGCAGTGTAAAAGCTTGCTCTTGAGATAGCCATCAGTACATGTCCTGCCCTCCCCTGGGTGAGCATCCCTGGCTGTGAGTTAACAGGGTGATTTCCAAGGGATCACAAACCTCTGGGGAAGGGGAGCCTGCTAGTGAGCCAAACCAGGACAAGATTCACATGAACTGTTCTGGATATTCTCCTGGGCCCTCTTGTGCTATTTGATGTGAAATAAGCACTGAGGGTGGGTCCCACCTTGCTGCTCTGGATGGTGCTGTCTCTTCCAGCCTTCTGCACATCCTCACTGCCCTCCTTTTGGCTGTTGAGCATTGGCTCAGTATTTGGGAAGAGCTGCCATCCCCTCCTGGCAGCGTGCAGGGCAAATTACAGGCTGGGAGAGGGAAACACCTCCAGCCATGGCAGAGTGCTGAGCTTCTGGCAGCCTGTGCAGCTCAAGCTGGGGGTGGCTGGACATTTTTGGCAAAGGTTTTTGCCATTTGAGCAGATACAGTTTGTATAACTTCATGCTTTTTTGCTTGCTCAGTGAAAATACGTCTTCAGCTAAGGACAGATGACATGTCTGGGGTTCAGGTGGGCTGCTCAAAAAGACTCAAGTTTTTCTGCCTGATACATAGACCTGAAATATAAAGAATGCTTGAAATTTTGGGTTGTTCTTCTGGGACACTAGAAGGTTATTATGAGCTGTTTTTGAGGAGAGAAAAGAAGACCCACAACAAACATGCAGGATGTGTGTCATAAAGATTCTTGATTGCATTCATTTGTTTGAAACTGGTGAGTAAGTGTCTCTTTATGGGTGGATACATCTTTGATTTGTATCGTCTTTGATTTGTGATGTGCTGCTATGTCCTTCAGGGAGACACAGAAGAAACTTCTGCAGCTTTGCAGTAAGGTATATAACATTAAAATTTATGTTAGTACTATCACTTGCTTCAGATCTTGCAGTAGATAAAAAAATGCATGTGTGAGAGTACTGCACATGTGAAGACTGGATGATTTAGAAGTTTTATAAATAAATCTTGTTTTGAAGATTCTGAAACTACTGTGCTGTTGATATGGAAGGAAACTCTTTCTTTCCCATTGTGCAAAATTTAAAATTTGTCACAACCCTGAATAGACACATCTCTTTATAATTTGAGCAGCATGAATGAAGACATCTGATTTTTTTCTTCCCTACGTCTTGCCCTCTTCTTGTTCTTTTGAGGAAATGCCATTGTTATTTAGGGTACTGGATTTAGATGTGTTGCACACACATTCACAAGAATGGAACTGCACTTTGGAAGCAGTGCTGCAGTCAGGCTTTGGCAGCCATGCCATGTTGTGCTGCCTGGTTTACCCAAAGCCTACACTTAACCAGTGTGGGCTGGCTACATGATTCACTCAGCAAAGTCTGTCCCCTTTTAGGCTGTGTCAACAGAGTTTTAACCTGCCAGGGTCTGTGCTCCA